ACTATATATATATATATATATATATATATATATATATATATATATATATATATATATATATATATATATATACATATGAATCATATGTACCCTGACCGGTACTCGAACCTAGGACTTATAATTACTAAGCCAAGGTGCTACAAACTACATCACAAAAGGTTAAAGGGAAACATACCTTATAGCTTATATCTGCTATATTAGGCATGAATGCATTATATCTGAATGCCACCATGTACATATTACAGTTTCCCCAACCTAACTCAGGGTTTCGTTTTTGCATTTAATTCAACTCCCAATCTCATTCGGAACCAACAATAATCCAATAAGCACATTAGCAATTATGAAAACATGAATCATGTTTACCCCAACCGGTACTTGAACCTAGGACTTATAATTACTAAGCCAAGTCGTTACCAAATACACCGCAGAAGGTTAAAAGGAAACAAACCTTCCAGCTTATATCTGCAATACTAGTAATTAACGCATTCTATCTGAATGCCACTTTATTCATATTACAGTTTCCCCAACCTCACTCATGCTTCCAATCTAAATCGTGGCCAACAATAACCACAAAAGCACATTATCATATGTGAAAACATGAATCATTTTTACCCCGCCCAGGACTTTAACCTACTACTTATAATTACTATACCAAGACGCTATCAACGAAGCCACAGAAGTTTAAAGGGAAACAAACCTTACAGCTTATATCTGCTATGCTAGAAATACAAGCATTCTATCTAAATGCCACTATGTTCATATTACAGTTACACTAACCTCACTCATGGTTTCGTTTTCGTATTTAATTCAACTCCCAATCTCATTTGAGACCTACAATAACCAAATAATAACATTGCCATATATGAAAACATGAATCATATTTTTCCCTAGGACTTATAATTTCTAAGCCAAGGCGGTAACAACTACATTAAAATATGCTACAGTAAAAAACCCTTATAGCCTATTTGTGCTATACTAGGAATGAACGCATTCTATTTGAATGCCTCTATGTTCATATTACAATTTCCCCAACGTCACTCGTGGTTTCGTTTTCGCATTTAATTCAAGTCACAATGCCATTTAGGACCAAACAATAACCAAATAAGCACATTACCATATGAGAAAACAAGAATCATTTTTACCCTAACTGGTACTTGAACCTAGGACTTATAATTATTAAACCAAGGCGCTACCAACTACACCACAGAAGGTTAAAGGGAAACAAACATCACAGCTTATATCTGGTATACTAGGAATGAACTCATTCTATCTGAATGCCACTATGTTCATATTGCAGTTACCCTATCCTCACTCGTGTTTCGTTTTTGCATTTAATTCAACTCCCAATCTAACTCAGAACCAATAATAAGCAAATAAGCACATTACAATATGTGAAAACATGAAACATGTTTACCCCGACCGGTACTTGAACCTAGGACTTATAATTACTAAGCAAAGGTGCTACCAATTACACCATAGAAGGTTAAAGGGAAGCAAACCTTACTGATTACATCTGCTATACTAGGAATGAACGCATTCTAACTGAACTCCACTACGTTCATATTACAGTTTCCCAAACCTCACTCATGGTTTCGTTTTCGTAATTAATTCAACTCCCAATCTCAATCGGGACCAACAATAACCTAAGAAGCCCATTACCAATGGTGAAAACATGAATAATTTTTACCCCGATCGGGACTTGAACCTAGGGCTTATAATTACTAAGCCAAGGAACTACAAACTACACCACAGAAGGTTAAAGGGAAACAAACCTTACAGCTTGTATCTACTATACTAGGAATGAACACATTCTATCTGAATGCCACTATGTTCATATTACAGTTTCCCAAACTTCTCTCATGGTTTTGTTTTTGCATTTAATTCAACTCCCAATCTCATTTGGGACCAACAATTACAAAATAAGCAAATTACCATATGTGAATACTTGAATCCTTTTTATCCCACCCGGGGCTTGAACCTAGGACTTGTAATAACTAAGCCATAGTGCTACCAACTACACTACAGAAGGCTAAATGGAAAAACCCTTACAGCATATATCTACTATACTAGGAATGAACTCATTCTATCTGAATGCCACTATGTTCATATTACAGTTTCCACAACCTAGCTCGTGGTGTCGTTTTTGCATTTAATTCAACTCTCAATCCCTTTCAGGACCAACAATAATCAAATAAACACATTACCATATGTGAAGACATGAATCATTTTTACCCCGACTATACTTGAACCCAGGACTTATAACTACTAAACCAATACGCTACCAACTACTCCACAGAAGGTTAAAGGGAAACATACCTTACAGCTTATATCTGGTATACTGTGAATGAACGCATTCTTTCTAAATGCAACTATGTTCATATTACAGTTTCCCAAACCACACTCGTGGTTTTGTTTTCGCATTTTATTCTACTCCCAATCTCATTCGGGACCAACGATAAGCAAATAAGCACATTACCATATATGAAAAATGAATCATTTT